TAGAAAGAGTAGTTTTACAAGCTTAGACCTACATAAACTGAGCATCCTCATAAAGCTTGACTTCACACATCTTACCATTCATTCAACCTGAATCATCTTTTTTCAAATCTCGTAGTGATAACATTTATTTTCTGTTTCAGTTTCAATTGGATCTCTCCTGAAGCGTGGCTGGAATGAAATTCCTGAAGTTGTTGGGTCAGGATTGATGGCAGTTGTAGGTGAGTCATAAATTCCACCTCTCATGTTGCATAGTTGCCTGCAAATATTTCCTCTAGTAATCCCTCAAGTTTACAATCGAAAGTTTACCTCTCAATCACTGGCCACTTGTGGATTAGTGAAGAGATGTCATTTTCTTTAGAGTCATTGTCTTCGCCTTGTGTATCAAGAAATGCATCTTTAGAAATGTTTTATAATTCAACTTTGATTGGACTGCTTTGCAATTACATTAACATTTGCTGTTATCAGACTTTCATTCCCTGTTGCAAAGAAAAGAGAATCCACATTTCCCTGTTGAATGACTTTCCACTTCTACTCCCCCTGACACATTGATTTACTCCGGCAGGGTTTGGCAGTGGCATGTACGCAGCCTGGATATACAAGCGGGATGAGATGTACAATGAACAGCATAGATACTATTACACAGGTCAGTTGCAGAGAGCTATGGCACTTAAATACATAGTTAACACCATTCTCCAACACTATTCTCACCTGCTGGCCAAACACTCTGGCCAATGTTGGTTCCAAAACACAATTCAGAAACAAGGTGAAGATTGGGGCACTTCAGACCACTGAAGTCGGGGCACATAAGACTGTTTCTTTGACACAAGTCGACTTCACGGGACATTTCGAGGGTCTGGGCACTCTGGAGTCAAATGTCGGTCAGAACGCTCGATTTTTGGCGGTGGGTTGGTGGTGCGCTCATTGAGTGCACCTTACAGCCAATGCACTATCAGGCACAGGGATTTGTAGTCGGGTGGATGAAAAATAATGCATGTGTGCTGTCATTGTTGCGGTCTTCTATTGATACGAATGGGCTTTAGCTACGGTGATTCATCGCTGGCCGCTCATGATTGCTGTAATGAGTCGACGTACTGATGCATAGAGTGGTTTTAGAGCCAGCTGAATTGCGGCACTCCATCGCCCTAGTGCGGCCCTTCCCTTCACTGTGGCCACACCAGTGCAGTAGAGTGCCGCTCAGCTTACTCTAAAGCAAAAAAAAAAAAAATGTTTGGCACGTAAAACGTTGAAGCAGACATGAAATGACATTACCATTCACGTAACTGCGCTACACAGTCTACGCGGCTACCGATGATTCTATGTCAGAATCCGTTTTGTCACAGTCCCTACTACAATTCATATCAAGATATGCTTCTCTGGTAACTTTTGTAAAACTGTAACCAGACAACTCCGTTGTATTTTCAACACAATTCTAACGGATAGTGCTTTTAGCCATTGAATAAGAATATTCGGTACATTTATTTCAAGTAAGTTCATTCTTTCGTTCCAGTTTACCGCCACGACGACCCGAAGGCGGCCAAGCTGCGACCGATCCGGCGGGACGATCTGAAGTACGGCATCTGAGCGGTGTGGCCGCCCCCTGTAGATATAATGCCCCTCCTCCCCGCGTCTTCAGTGATGGATAGATGTAAATACAACGTACTTATATGAAAGTTTTTTTTTCTGAGGCGGAGAGCGGTACGTGGTGATAATCAACTAATATCTTCCGTTTTTTATTTTAGGGTTTGCTGCGTTTTGATCGCTGCCGATATAAGATGTTTGATTTGATTTGGTATTATAATAAGCCGGTCTGGGAGGGTCCTTTTAGTTTCGGTCAGAAATAATAAACGCTGAAAAACTTGTAACGCGACACGACCTGGCCTGATTGTGAGTTGTCTCAGTTATCGAGTCGCGAGAGGGCGCTAACATAGACGTGGAGAAGAACCGTGCCGCCATCTACCTTCAAACTACATAAAGTGGCATCGGTGAATTGAGTGTGGGAGAGGCCGGATGTTAATTGTTTAGTCCGTTGTGTCATCTATGTATATCAAGCCCTACATGCAACATGCAAGCCTTATAGCCATGTAGGTTATCCAGGCCTGCAGCCACCCAGTTCAGTTTTGGATACTATGCAAAGAACTTTGCATAGGGGATTTTACTGCCCCGGGACCCCGCCTATAATCAGCTGTGAAAGCACAGACTACCAAAGAAGTAAATTATGGATGTTATCCTGCTAGGTTAGCTACAGGGTGACACAAAAAAAGTGGTCATCACCAAAATTCGAATAACTTCGGAAGTTTTATTCAGATCATCACCAAACTTCGGCCACTTTAGGTCAAACCTATGTAGCATACATCCACCAAGTTTCAAGTCTTCACTACGAATACTTTTAGTACAGTGTGTGTTTTACTGACGCTCCACAATGTGCTCCAGGTGAGCGCCCCGGCGCTGCAGGGCGTAGGCACACCTGCATCCGGCGGGCAAAGTTGTCGATAACCCGATGGCTGTGCACTTTACAGAGTGCAATGGCCTCTGGAGACAGTGCTCAGGGGGTATGCTACCCCTGAAACGTTATTCTTATCGGGTTATCGACAACTTTGCCCGCCGGGTGCAGGTGTGCCTACGCCCTGCAGCGCCGGGGCGCTCACCTGGAGCACATTGTGGAGCGTCAGTAAAACACACACTGTACTAAAAGTATTCGTAGTGAAGACTTGAAACTTGGTGGATGTCTGCTACATAGGTGTGACCTAAAGTGGCCGAAGTTTGGTGGTGATTACGAGCGAGCGAGCGCAGCGAGCGAAGTGAGTCTTTTCAATATAACGGAAAAATCTCAGTATGAGCGGCCCGGCCCGGCCCGGCCCGGCCCGGCCTGTAACGCTTTTGAGAGGCTTATATCTCAGCAACCGCTGGACCGATTGGCCTGCGGTCTTTTTTGTTGGGTAGCCCCATCCCTTCTACCCAGTAATTGACTACTTTTGATACATCTCAGTGACCGTCGTGGCACGTGCCACGTGAAAAGCCAAGGGTGTTCAAGCTGTTTTGCAAAAGTAGTGATTTTGAGAAGCTCATATCTCAGCAGCCGCTTGGGCGATTGACTTGCGGTAATTTTTGTAGGGCAGCAGCATTCCTTCTACCCAAAATGGGATACTCTCGATGCATGTGGGTCACCCCCAGTGCACGTGCAAAATACAACAATAAGAGGTGCCAAATTTGTTCCCATTTCAGTAACTCGGTAATTACTGGGGCGATTTCGCTGAAACTTGGCATACAGGTAGGCACCCACCAGGCAATGCATTCCCATGTGTTACGGTTAGGGTACTACTGCACGTGTGCACGTGCAGGGGGCGTTTCCAGATCTCGAGAACGGCTGGGCCGATTGCGCTCAAATTTGGTACACGGTTGGGGACCAGTTAGTAGGGTGCCGTGCAAAAGTAATTTTGGACCCCGTTTGCACGTGCGCACGTGCAGAATGCCGCTTCCAGATCTCAGGAACAGCTGGGCCGATTGCGTTCAAATTTGGCACACCGCTAGCGACCAGTTAGAAGGGTGCTTTGCGCAAGCCCGTTGGAAGCACCCTCTCGCCCTTCCGCACGTGCAGGGCTCACTATCTCGCTCGCTCGTTCTTCGCCCAAAAGGCGTTTTACTGGTTTGAATAAAACTTCTGAAGTTATTCGAATTTTGGTGATGACCGCTTTTTTTGTGTCACCCTGTACTTCACTTCATGAATCTTACTTTTAGAATGGCGCGTCAGTCGATTCCTTTTTCTTCACCCGTTCCTTTCCGCTTTCGTCTTTCCCTCCCAGCCAGTAGCAACAGCTCACTCATACAACATTATGGTGATTACGAGCGAGCGAGCGCAGCGAGCGAAGCGAGTCTTTTCAATATAATGGAAAAATCTCAGTATGAGCGGCCCGGCCCGGCCCGGCCCGGCCTGTAACGCTTTTGAGAGGCTTATATCTCAGCAACCGCTGGACCGATTGGCCTGCGGTCTTTTTTGTTGGGTAGCCCCATCCCTTCTACCCCGTAATTGACTACTTTTGATACATCTCGGTGACCGTCGTGGCACGTGTCACGTGAAATGTCAAGGGTGTTCAAGCAGTTTTGCATAAGTAGTGATTTTGAGAGGCCCATATCTCAGCAGCCGCTTGGGCGATTGTCTTGCGGCAATTTTTGTAGGGTAGCTGCATCCCTTCTACCAATGGTCGGACACTCTTGATCTATGTGAGTGACCCCCACTGCACGTGCAAAATACAACAATAAGAGGTGTCAAATTTGTTCCCATTTTAATAACTCGGTAATTACTGGGGCGATTTCGCTGAAACTTGGCATACAGGTAGGCACCCACCAGGCAATGCATTCCCACGTGTTGCGGTTAAGGTTCTACTGCACGTGCGCACGTGCAGGGGGCGCTCCCAGATCTCGAGAACGGCTGGGCCGATTGCGCTCAAATTTGGTACACGGTTGGGGACCAGTTAGTAGGGTGCCGTGCGAAAGTCAGTTTGTACCCCGTTTGCACGTGCGCACGTGCAGAATGCCGCTTCCAGATCTCAGGAACGGCTGGGCCGATTGCGTTCAAATTTGTTACACCGTTAGCGACCGGTTAGAAGGGTGCTTTGCGCAAGCCCGTTAGAAGTACCCTCTCGCCCTTCCGCACGTGCAGGGCTCACCATCTCGCTCGCTCGTTCTTCGCCCAAAAGGCGTTTTACTGGTTATATCATATATTTGTCAAGAATATCGCTATGGGTAAGAAAAACTAGTGAAAATGAAAGAAACAGTGATACTGTACTGGATTTTTCTTTTTCTTGTAACACTGCACGCTACAGTGCAATAAGCAGAGTTCGCATTAGCCGTTGTCTCTTCTTCTATCATCCCACGGCCCACGGCAAGCAAACAAACCGCACGCAGCTGACAACTACACATAGTTATTAGCCAAACAATCGGTTCAGAAAGCCTAGGTCGAGTAAGTACCCACTCGGGCCAGCTGTCGTAAGTGGCATAGGTAGTTACTTCCCCGACCCCATACCACCACCACCCATGGACCCACCACCACCACCGATAGTCGTAGCAGCGACGTCTTTGCAGACGAACAGCATTCTCGTCTCAGCAGTGGTAGCCACGTACTGGCCGGTGCCCGCCTGCATATAGACATACAGTTTCTGGGGATCGGCGTTCGTCTCCTCACCGGTCGCAAAGTTGCGGTACGTGTAGGTTTTACCGTCTACCCAATACCAGTTGTCGTTGACAGACGCTCGCTGCAGACCAATGAGAGTATCGCTGTTGATTCTCTTGACAATTTCATTGTTCTCCAAAGTCGCCTCGATGGACACGGCCCTGGCCTCTGGGACGAGCTGCGAGCAGCGCTGGTTTACCTGGTCGGCCCGCTCCGTCTCGGTGGAGAAGTAGTAGTATTGGCCCTTGTAGCTCTGTATGCGGCCCGTTTCCGAGGGAGGCGCCGGTGTGGTGGTGGACCCTTGTGTCGTTGTTGTCGACATTGCCGTTGTCGTCGTTGGCACTGGAGTTGTTGGCGATTGTTTTGTCGTTGTCGTTGTTGGTGCTGGAGTCGTCGTTGGTGCTAGCGTCGTTTTTGCTGCTGGTGTCGTCGTTGGTGCTGGTGTCGTCGTCGTGGGTGCTGGTGTCGTCGTCGTTGGTGCTGGTGTTGTTGTTGGTGCTGGAGTCGTCGTAGAAGCTGGTGTTGGTGAAGGGGTCGTTGTAGAAGCTGGTGTCGTTGGTGCTGGCGTCGTTACCGTTTGTGTTGTTGTCAGGGATTTGTCTGTTGTCTGAGACACGCCTGTTGTCTGGGACGTGTCTGTTTTCTGGGACGTGTCTGTTGTCTGGGATGGACTTGTCTCTGAAACCGCTGATGTCCTGACTACTTCAGTCGTGGTGGACGAGTCAGCTCCGTTTCCCGCATCAGTCGTTAAACCGGTACCTGTCGTCGATCCCTCTGATGTCGTCTCCGTCACTGTTGATGTAGTGCTCTCGACAGTTCGCGGCTGTGGACCAACCACCAGACCTCCAGGAGGTGAGGCCAAGGCTGCTCCGCTCGCTGCCAAGCCGTACAGACGACACCGGTCTCCTGACACCGTCTCAGAGGGGAGGTACTCCACCGCCTGACAGGTCGGAGCGTGGCGAATGCAGAGGCCGGCGCAGGTCACCCGACTGGGTGGGGGGACGGAGGGAGGGGTCAGAGGCTGGTGGTTGGAGAGGAGCGACCAGTGGAGGTGGTGGTAAGTCACCAGCGCTTCGCTAGAGATCGAGCACACTAGAATCAGTGCCAGTAGTGGAGGAGGCGAAGGCGTCTTCATTGATGGACTTGCTGGGTTGGCTACCGACGCAATCTGTGTTGAGCATACGCTGGCTTCAAATGTCCCAGCACGACAGGTCACCACTATAACCGCACAATTGTTCTACGATACACAAGCGAAAGGGGCTTCCCCGGAGCTCAGACAAATGCGAGCGCGGGGCGGCTGTGACTTTCGGACTGACATGCAACGCTGCAGAAGCTGCGATGATCTGTCCCTACACGCTGTGTCCCTATGATGTTCCGCGTTGTTCCGTCAGTGGGCTAAGTGTGGACACTTCACAGCCATCCACTGCGCAGCAGCCGGTGTTTGGGACAGTGCCAATTCCGTCTCCAAGCAATTCATCATCAATCTCGACACTTTGACGCGTTTAATTGCCACAACCTGTCTTCTGAACAGCCGTGGTCCCACTCCGCTGGTCTGTTGACTTCTATTCTTGAGGCCGATTAGACGCATTAAATCGCTTACAAAGTATCAGTGCAGTGGCTTTAATAGCGGGATAATAGGCGTCGGTAGCGTCCTAACTGCCGTCAAAAGCTGAAGTCGAAGCGCTGTTGGCTTTTGGCACACGGCTACCAAGAGACGCGTTTGTGCCGCCGCATTTATCATATTATCTGAATGACTACCGACTACGGCCTTCAATAATAAACCATTATTGGTACCTAGGCCAGGCTTTGGATGGAATTAGTGGTACCTACCAATCAATGTCGGGTTTGTTTTGTTTTGATGGTAGCTTTCATGCTGTCTGGGGTGTCATACGTGACCGGTTGAGTACCTATCGCCCCTATAATCCGACGCAATGTTTCATTTTGTATTTGTGTTTGCACCGTTTATTTTTTATGCCTCCACAGACAGCAATGGATAGGTCATTTATGGCCCACTGCCTCGGATAATTTAATAAGCCCAGTCATTTTATTCGATTCTTTGCCGCTGGGAAGGATATTAAATAATAAATTTACGATGGTATTAATTTAGCATCAAGTCCGACAAAGATCGCTTTTTATATGACCATAGGTATATGAAATTCATTGATTTCATCAAGCCGGCTCTAACGCCTTGACACTTGAAGATTAAACGGTCTGAAATTTGACGGTAAATATGTCGGAATGTGTGACGTGTGTAGCGTGTTAAATTCGACGCACCGGTGGCCTCATGCATCATTATTCATTGAAATGCATGCTGCAGTGTTCAGTGCCCACCGTTCAGTGCTTATGCATCGTGCACAATACCTTTTGTGCGTTGTAATACCTATTGTGCGTTGAAATGTAAGCTTAGCGATCAAGTAGGGTCGTTACAGTAGGTATTCACATGGCTTTCAGCGCGGATCGTTTCACTATCGGAACGCGTCACGGACGGCAAAGAAAAAATAATAATTTATTCAAATATAGGTACCCCGTACCCGGTAATCGTTAAACACCAATGTAAACATCATTATATCTATACAGAAACAACGAAAAACGATGAAACACGGGCGACATTTCGCTGACAAACGACAAAGGCGTGAGAATTGTCAGCCTGTGCAAGGCGTCCGCACAATACGGAGACGGGCTCAACGAAAGCAAGTTTATTGGTTATGCACTAGCAACAATGCAATACGAGGCGCTAATTGACATCTTTTCATACGTGCGCTGTCCTCACCTCGCCATGTTCAAACAGCGCCACAAAAGGTGGGCGCGGTGCTGGTGTGTACAAGCACCTGTGCTGTGAGAGCCCGGCTGGGCGTCATAGAGACCCGCCTCCTGTGTAGGCCTCTGGGCATCACAAACGCCCAGTGGGCCCCGGGTCAGAGCGTCGCACTCGCCCCCACCAGTAGGGCCGGTCCCGGCTCCCAGAGCGACGCTCTGGTCAGAGTCGTCTGACTCAATAGTAGACTCGTTTGACTCGAAATAGACTTGTCTAACTGGCGCAGTCGCCAGTCTGAGTGACACCGGAACTCTGTTCGGAAACCCGGATCAACGGCGCCTCATATGAAGACCTCGCCGACATGGTGTCCTGCGTGGTAGAAGACGTGGTAAGCCGTTCCGACAGATTTCTTCAGTAGATATACTGAAGACATTATCAGCAGCGATGCTCTGAAGACAGGATTTGGGTAGACCGAGGCGTATGATATGTCGGTAAATTATGGTCAGCTCCTTCAGTTCATCGGTCAAAATTGGTCTGCGAGTGCGGAAGACGACTTGGCAGGTGGACAGGAATTGCGCATCACAGCCGTACACGACCCACCTTACGTATCGATTGCCCAAATGGCCAACGGTTCCTACATCTACGGCGGCTATCTGTACGAAGTCTGGAAGATAGTCGCTCAGTCTCTGAACCTCCGCTACAAGCTAGTGCCTCTTCTGGAAGGAGATTTCGGAAGGCTGGATGAAAACGGAACATGGACTGGAATGGTGGGAGAACTTGCCTACGGGAGGGCCGATGTCGCGCTTGCATGGCTCTGGATGAGGAAGGACCGTCTAGAAGTGATTGATTACCTGGATGTGCCTGTCGAGCAGAGTACCGATCGCTTCTACATCAGCAAGAAGGCAGGCGACGTGCCCAGTTTCACGGTCAACATGTTCAACTCGCTGCTGAAGCCCCTGGACAGGACCGTCTGGTGGGTACTGGTCGGCACACTTTTCGTTCTTTCTCTGGCGCTGAAGGGGACCGCCAGTCTCAGCGGAGGAGAAAATCGTCAAACCTTGAAAGGCATGACTTGGGCGACGTGTCTCCTGAACACAGTCATGGCGATAGCGGGACAGGGATGGACATCGACACCCTCGTCTCTCTCCGGTCGCATACTAACCATATTCATGTGGTTTCTCTGCATCATCATCAGCAACAGCTACACGGCCACCCTGACTTCCCACCTGACCGTGGCAGTCGTGGAGCGACCCATCAGCAGTCTGAAGGAATTCTCCGAGAGTTCCGACTGGAGTCTGATGGTGTCTCCCGATCACATCCATCTCAACGATTGGAAGAGAAGCAAGGACCGCTATGAGAGGGCCCTGTATCAGCGCTTCATCAACAAAGATCGCTTCATTCCTTTCTACAGAACCAAAGAAAGCGCCATGGAATGTACACGTCCCAAGATTATGACCTATGTGAACATCGACAGGCTGTTTTCTCTCATAGGACCCGAAGCATGCCATCTCGTATCGCTCTACAAACAACCCAAAGAGGCGACCCAGTTCAACTACATGGTGATGACAAAAGGAAAAGAGAACTTACGACGCTCCATCAACCACGTTATGAGAAAAGTCAGCGAGGCAGGCATCATCGAAACGCTGAAAAGAAGATGGATCAAGCGACCAGAGACGTGTGCGTCCCCACTGGGTGTCAGGCCCGTCTCCTTCGCCAACTCGTTCGCGCTTTTGATGATCGTCCCTCTGGGCATTGCCTCCAGTGTCGTCATTTTTGGACTGGAGCTGGTGTTGGTCAGACGAGTCAAACGCAAAATATTGAAAAGTTGTTCCCACTTGTTTCACAGAATTTGAATGTACCTAGTTTACCGTGTGATTTGATAACTTTATGACTGGATAGAAATTAAGTCTATTTTGAACAAAATTGCTCAGTCCATCCTAGGCAGACGGTAATTTAGAAAAGTGAATTGGGTTGCTGATACCTATTAAGGAAATTTGAACTTTCTCCCCTCTGCAAAGAAAGAAATGAATCAGGCTGGCCAGTGACGTCAGTTTAGAACGTTTTTGTTGGACAACTTAATTGTGGTACCAAAAGTTATGGAATGAATAGGTTCAATGGTTTCATTCAACTAAATTCGACTGATATATGTGTGTGAGTGTGCCTGGGGACGAAACAGAAACAACCAGGGTTGTGCTCGACTAAAAAAAAAATTGCCGACTCGACTCATCATTCAACTTCAGAAAGCCCTGACTCAACTCTGACTCAAACAAGGAGCTGATTTTTTCCCTTGACTCGACTCATGACTCAAGCGGCTCAATGAAAATATGAGTTGACTCAAACTTGACTCAAATTTTTTGTTGAGTCAAATGAGTTGACTCAAAATTGACTCAGATAAAAAAGTTGTTGAGCGGGGGGGGGGTGAAAAAAAATCCAGCAGCAGGGCCAGGGCTAAGTTGTTAAGCGAGGGGGGGGGGGGTTTGACTCAAGTCAATGTCAAGTTATTTTACTGACTCAACTCTGACTCAACTCAACGCCTTAATATTTTTGTCTGACTCAACTCTGACTCAACTCAACAGCTCAACATTTTATCCGACTCGACTCAAATCTGACTCATTTGAGTCAGAGTTGAGTCAAATTTCTGACTCGACTCATGAGTCAAGCACAACCCTGGAAACAACGAATATTATAGTGAGAGCACCCGTGTGCGCCACACTCGACAGTAAATGGGCGATCTATCACATAAATAATCACCGTTCCATGCTTCTATCCTCAGGATACTGAAATCCTTCTCCTCCACACCGCAACCCCCCTCCGGGCTGGACAGGCAACTTTATCTCATGCGGGCTGCTCCCTTGGAGCGGCACCGCTGCTCCCGAGGGAGCGCACCCCGTAGCCGGGTGCAGTGAGTGCCTTGGGGCTGGGTGGCCTGTCCTCTGGACGGGCTCAGCCCCGGCGACTCACTAGGGTGCCTTCCCAGACCAATGTCTCCCCCTACATCCTATCATCCTCCCGGCTCTGAAATGGTCTCATTGGACCGAAAGGGCCTAACCCAACAAAACAAACAAACAAACAAACATTGATAATGACAAGCTATTTAATACACAAGGAGAAACAGGCTCTCGGGTTTTCGCGAAAAAAGTGCTTTCATTTGTTCCTGCTAGACACAAGCTTCTGCTTGTGCGCACATTTAAGTACCTATGCGTGAGCAGGCATGCCATTCATACATTGGCTCTAATGGCATTCATGCTCGTGTGGCTGTGGCTGTTCTTCGCCCGAAATAAAATGGGTAAAATCAATGTCATTAATCGGTCCGGAGGGCAGCACCCAGCACAATCACAAGCGCACATACACTCAGTAGTCAGTACTCACGGCTTATCATGTACGGAAGTAAACAATGCTTCGGTGCCAGACCAGCACTGAAAACACTTTGGAAGAACGTTAAGAACGTACAGGGGTATTTAGACCCCTGTGGGGTAAAATGTTATGCCACCGTTTTTCAGAACCCCCATGGTTCTTCACGTAGACGGCTTTGCATTCTCATCCAAAGAATCCACACGATTCTTCCAAAGACTCTTATGAGGTTTAGGGTTTATAATAAGAGCGTTCTTAGCACCTAGATAAGAACCCCAAAGGGTCTGTGAAGAGGTCCCTGAGGTTTATAGGGAAACCACCCTGTGTTCTGAATATCGGTTGTAGAACCCTTTCAGTTCTATTGTAATACCGCAAAATCCCCGTTCATTCGTCTATTGAACCTCCCATGCATGGCTATCGACCTGCGCCGTCACATCTGCTGCGCAAACACAGTACTTGATACACCTTAAAATGTATTACCTTCCTCTTTACTCTGAGCAATCGGCCTGCAAGTCTCCAGTCAGGAACAACCAGCCCGCAACCAGCCCATGCGATCAGCCCGCAACCAGCCCGCATTCAGCCTGCGATCAGCCCGCAATCAGCCTGCAGGAACGCTTTCCCCTCCGCCGTGTCACTTGCCTTACACATCCAAGCCAAAGAACTCCAGAGCCTTTTGGGCATGTTTAATTATTGAGGTTGATTCCTTCACGCTCAGGGTTGCTTTCTGTACAAATATGAACACATTTTTAGCTTTAGCAAGTGGATGTTTTCCCAAACACAGTATGCGCTATCGCCCATGTCAGCAGCCGGGTGGCGATATCGCATTCTCCCAAATCACATACAGTTTTTCCTCCTTCCACCACCAGCTTCAAGCCAGCGTTTTCGACGATGTCGACGTCTCCGCGCGTCAGGACGCTCTCCTCAGACTCCAGGGCCTCAATCAGGGCGGAGATGGCCTCGTCCCCTAGAATGAAGAGTCGGGCGGATGCGTTATTCAACAGGCAGGGAGTAAAGAAACTTAGATTGACTTCAGAGACCATGAGCCTACTCCAAAAATAAAATAATGCACTTAACATATAATGTGCAGCTAGATAAAATATTGCACTAATCAGCAAGAACATATGTTTTGTAAAATCAGCCAAATTTATACCTTAATCAGTTGATCCCAAAATGGAAAGCTGATTCTATTCCTGATTTATCTTCATTTAGAACATTTGTCTAAATACCATATGCATAATTTAAGCTATGGGGCATTTATACAACACATAAATACTTACTGCATTGATTGGTCTTGCATATGAATTTTCTTCATCCAATGCATTCATCCATGCATTTGAAGAGCGTTGTGGTATTGCTTATCATTGTCAATCACAAGTAATATAGATAATACACAACACTCGACAAGCCAAAAATTAACCTTATTTCAGTTCTTCAATATTCGATTACTTGCCATTCACCCAATCTTGCACCAGCCGCTCGTCACTGCACAAAGCGTGATCCAACGCCGGATCGAAACATGGCGATCGCTTCCGGTGGACGCCAGAACGTGGTACCGCGGGCGTGGTCTTGATGAAAGCCATTACACTGATCAAACCACAACCCCTTCTTCTTAAACCCGATGCTAGTTCGTGCAAAACCTTCAAAGGGTTTATCTTTCGCGCGCTTTGTGTGA